GAGAAATATAATTCAGCCACTGACTCACTCATCACAACACAAGAGCCTGGGCAGAATCAGACCAAACCAGGAGCCTGGATCTCCATGTGGATCTCCCATATTGATGACAGGGACTCAAGTACTTGGCCACAACATGCTGCTTTGAATGATAATAGGGCAAGTAGGCATCTGATCAGGTTTCTTAACCAATAGGCCAAATGCCTACCCCGTATTATATTGCCTTAAGGCAATTTTTTTCTTCATGCAATTTTCAACAGTATGTACTATCCTTCTTTGGTTCCAGTAATAATTCTTGTCTCACACATACACATGATGTTAGTATGGCCACAGTGGGTTTTGCTCTATGATGTCCTTTTCGGAACCTATTTATGTGTTTGAATCTGAAGACATTTTCTTTACACAGTGTATGGTTCAAATTAGTTTTTAAAAGTTCATTCTGATGATATCTGCCTTTTCTTAGGCTATCCAAAACTATGTATATTAAAATGATTAGTCTATTGCTTCTGAAGTTTTACGGTTTGTTGCCTGAAATGATTTTTGTCCCTCATTTCCTCCATTTACTGCATTCCCTCCATTCAGTTGAGTTTTTATAGTGAAGAGTTTTGATTTCCTCCTCATTTTCTTCTTTGTACATATTGGGGATCCTCATCCTGGTGACATTAGTGTAAGCGACAAGAGCATCATACGTTGAGAATTACCATGTCAAGAAGACACAATGCATGGGAATTTCGCCTACGAGTGAAGACACCAGTCTGGATGAATTCCTCAACCACACACACAAAGTCATCTACAGGAGAGTGTTTGCGGCTCCCTATGATGCTGGCATTCCAAATGAGCACCAGTTTGGGTCCTGGCTGCTCTGCTAATCCAGCTCCCTGGTCATGCACCTGGGAAAGCAGTAGAGGAAGGCCCAAGTGTTTGGGCCCCTGCACCAGTGTGAGACCTGGGAGAAGCTCCTAGCTTTGGCCTGGAACAGCCTCAGCCATAATGGCCATTTGGGGAATGAATCAGTAGATGGAAGATCTGCCTCTCCCTCTTTCTGTCTGTAACTCTGCCTTTCAAATAAAATAAATCTTTAAAAATTATCTAAAATATGTTAACACTTGGGTGACACAAACATCCTACATACATGGTCCTTTAATCTGAGTTGGTGCCACCTACAACAGCATATGCAAATTCTTTTCCTAGATGTCTTGGTGCAATACTTCTTCTTCTTCTTCTTCTTGTTCTTGTTCTTCTTCTTCTTCTTCTTCTTCTTCTTCTTCTTCTTCTTCTTCTTCTTCTTCTTCTTCTTTTGACAGGCAGAGTGGACAGTGAGAGAGAGAGAGAGAGAGACAGAGAGAAAGGTCTTCCTAATTGCCGTTGGTTCACCCTCCAATGGTTGCTGCGGCCAGCGCGCTGCAGCTGGCGCACCGTGCTGATCCGAAGCCAGGAGCTAGGTGCTTCTCCTGGTCTCCCATGTGGGTGCAGGGCCCAAGCACTTGGGCCATCCTCCACTGCACTCCCGGGCCACAGCAGAGAGCTGGCCTGGAAGAGGGGCAACCGGGACAGAATCCAGCACCCCGACTGGGACTAGAACCCAGTGTGCCAGCACTGCAAGGCGGAGGATTAGCCTATTGAGCCGCGGCGCCGGCCCAATACTTCTTAATATAGCTAACATCTTCATACATTGTGTGCACAAACATGCATGTTTTAATTATTTTATGTATTGTTCTCTTAAATGTTTCAAGAGTTAAAAGGTGGGTTCATGGATGTGCATTTGGGGCAGCAGCTAAGTCATCTGTTGGGATGTCTACATCTCATATAGGTTTTCCTTGGTTTCTCTCTGGGCTCTAGTCCTGATTCCAGGTTCCTCCTGTTGTGCATTTGGGAGACAGCAAGCCTCACAAAGACCTGAAACACAGCCCACGGACCTTTGTGAGAATTCTGTGTAGGAGTGTGGGTGGGGATGGTTGAGAGGGGGCTTTGCTTGTCATGGAATGGGAGCTAGAAACACACAGCTGAAAACCAAAGGCACAGGGACAAGTCTGAATTCCATGGTTTCAAGGCTTTAGGGGGAAAACCCCCACACGAGTTCTTGGAATCTGTACCACCACTGGAGTGAAGTACTAGGCTAAGGCCTGTCAGGGTATTTGGGGGAATTTCTAATTTCCCAGAGGGTAGAGACGTAGGCAGTTTAAGAGAGACCCTTTCCAGGAAATATTAAGCAAGGGGAGCATTTAGTGATATTTCCCACAGTTTAGATTGTTGTGAGCGTTTCTGCAGGAGTGTGGGTTTGTGTAAGCAAATACATTACCTCCTCTAAACAAGCTCTTGTTCCCCTCCCATACATGCTACTCTGCACAAAGATGTGTCGGCCAAGAACTTCTTTCCACAATTCCACACTGTGAGAAAAAAAATACGGCTCATTTTCAAAGTGAGACTGCTAGGTTACATGCAGCTGAAAGTTTTTAGGTAAACAGGATATTGGTGGCCAAAACAGCTGAAGCAAATGCCGAGAAGATTGGAACCCATTGGTACCTAGCCAGTGAGAAACTGGGGGCGGGATCTGTGTGCCAGGCAATAAATAGCTTGCTGTACTCACACCTGGAGTGCTGGCCCACCAAGCACAAGGCTTTGTGAGATCATTAAGTCTCATTTTTGCTGCACTTTTTGAGTCTACCGTCTGGATGAGAGGCTGTTTTTCACACAGACGAAGCTTTAGGTAGCATCTGTCAACAAACACAGGACCACACGTGGTGAGTGTGTGCGTGTTCTCCGAGAGACAAACGTGCATGGGTTTGCCTCCATTACTTGACGTGGTTTCCTGAGCTACACTGAGCTTGAAAGACCCCCAGGGACGAGAGAAGGCAGGCGCCTCAGTTTGCCTGCTGTGAGTACTGCGGAGATGCCTGTGAATGAACATTTTCCAACACGAGAGATTTGACAGATGACTGCCCATCTGCACTCTGTTAGCGTCTTCCTGAAGTCAGGAAAACTGGCCCTGGTTGGCCCGCTAGGTCGTGTTGGTCACAAGGGGCGATGGGTGAGGGATTGGGCTAAAGTTTAGGGCTCTGTCTTCAGGTGGCTGCATTCTCTGGAGTTTTACTCCTTCTGCTTGAGGCTTTGACATTGTTCTGTCTGCTGATTCTTTGCCTTTCCTGCCTCTCCATCTTCCTGCCCTAGAGTACACACTGTCCCTTGCGTCCTTTTTTTTTTTAACCCCTTCTCCCCTTCCAGCCCTCCTTCTTCCTCCTGCCTGCCTGCCTATGGATATCAAGGATTATGACTGTGAATGCTAACATCTGCCTGTTCTTGGTGTTTTTACTTCACATGTGATCACAATATAAAAGTTAACTTAATGTAGTGACTGGACTGGGCCACCAGGTGCCATATGCATTCGGCTAAGCATCATTCCTAATGTGTCTGTGGGTATTTCAGCTAGGTTTAACAAGGAACAGCTAGACCTTGTAAAGGAAATTGCCCTTCCTGGTGAGGCATGAATAGAGCAAAAGGGCTGAGCAGTCTGTGAGCAAGAGGGGGCACCTCCTCCATAAAACCTTAGATAATTGATATTAGAATGCCCTGGGGAGTGTCCTGGAATTTTTATGAGTGGTCAACAACCAACATGTTAGCCAAAACAGCTGAAGCAAATGTCCCATTGTTTCTCAGTCAGTGAGGAGCTGAGGGAGAGATCTGCACGCTAGGGAGTAAAGAGCTTGCTATAAACTACCCTTAGTGGGCTGGCCCACCAGGCATGAGATCTTGTAAGACTATTAATCAAGTCTCACTTTTGCTTCACTTCCTGAGTCTGAGTCTATCATCTGAGTGGATAGGTTAGGCTGTAGGAAGCATCTGTCAACAAATGCAGTGTCTTCCATGGTGAGTGTATGCGTGTTCTCAGAGACACAAACATGCTTGGCTTTGCCTTCATTGTTTGGTTGTGGTTCCTAGGCTACACTGAGCTCCGAAGACCCCCAAGGATGAGAGAAGGCAGGCACCTCCATTTCCCTGCTGTGGGCACTGAGGAGATGCCTGTGAATGAACAACGTTTTGCCCACGTGAGAGATTTGTTTAGAGATGGCTGCTCATGTCTCTCTGTTAGCTTCTTTCTGAGTTTAGGAAAATTGGCCCTAGCTGGCCCACTAGGTAGTGTTGGTCATCCCAAATTGAGGGGTGAAGGATTGAGCTAAAACAGGGGGGCTCTGTCTTCAGGTGGCTGAGCTCTCACCCTGGAGTTTTACTCCTTCTATTCGACCCTAAGACATTGCTTTGTCTTCTGATTCTTTGCCTTTCCAACCTCTCCTCCTTCCTGCCCTCCACTATACCCTTTACCTCCCGTCCCTTATCCCAGCCCAGCCCTTCTTCCTCCTGTCTGCCTACACATATCAGGGATTATGGTTATGAACACCAAAATATTTTAGATGTTTCTGTATTACCTACTTTGCCTAGGCCAAACACTGAATAATCCAGTTGATGTAGAGGTCTGCAACTACTGCTGTCTATCGAACACTTACCCAGATTGTTTCCATCTTGTTACTGAGGAGACCCACTCTCTAGTTTCCCCTTGTTCCTCAGATCCTTGGTCCTGTTCTGATTGGGTGGGGGCCTCTCCCTCATATGTCTGAATGGTACTATGCTGGGAGATATTTCCTGTCGTGAGCACCACGACGCACAGCTCGACAAGGCTAATGCGATGTGTCGGAGCACAGGGCAGAATCGCACAGAGTCGTGCTAGTCTTTTCAATACAATTTAGTATTCAATATTCAATACCACGCAATATGTCATTAGTCTACAGGTCATAGCACACATCTAGGAGTAAGGCCACTTCCAGAAATATCCAGCAATAGTAATATAACACATACAAAGCATAAAAGCATAACCAATCTAAACACTCATGGCTAAGGGTGTAATATGAATGCTGCATTCTTCAGGTTCATATCACAGTCACAAAAAGTCAAAGTCCAGAGTCCAAAGTCTCCATTACCACTTGGAGAGACAGATCTCAACAGTTACTTACAGGCAGGAGTCGTGGGATGACTGGCGTGTCGGGCAGTAGGCTCGAAGTTCCGAGACGGATGGCAAGGTGAAGGGCTGGAGAGGTCACCTGATGAGAGGTCCAGTCCTGCTCCGATGTCAGCTCTGGCGGCAGCTGGGACATCCAGGCGAGGTGGCTCCGGCAGGGTGGCGAGCAGAGCTTCAGTCGTGGAGATGTGGGCAGAGTTTCATTTGCACTGAGCTGTGGTCCCCCAGGGGATGAAGAGCGGTTGTGAGGCTTGCCTTTTTATCCCTGCTCTGGGGTAGGCAGGCGGTGAAGGTGCCCTGGGTGTCAGCAATCACAGGCTCATCTTTTTTGGTGTCTGAGTGTGACCAGTGGTGTTTTAGGGGTCTCCTGGGTGTGGTTAATCGTGGTGCAGTAGTGTGGGTGAAGTAATACAGTAGCCAGCTGGTTGGCTTCTTATGCTGTAATGTCCCCCAGTCCTTATCAGACCTCACCACCTGTGTCTTTTTTTTTTTTTTTTTTGAAA